CAAAAAAAAAAAAAAAAAACTAAAAAAACAATTGCAAAAACAAGAGAATCCAACATTGTTACCCTACTTTCACGTTCGAAATCTATCATCAGGGACTGGCCAGATAGCTCAGCGGATTAAAGTGTCTGCTTAGGCAGACACAGGGGTTGGGGGTTTAATCCCTGGTCTGTCCTGCTGGCCCCGCCCCTGGGGCATGCTGAGACTGAGATTGAGACAGAGCGTGGAGGTGCCACCTGTAATCCCAGCTCTTAGGAGGCTGTAAACAGGAGGATCACTACAAGTCTGATCTGTGTAGTGAGAGCCTGTAGACCCTGTACTAAATATATTTTTAAAAAAGAAAAAATATATATCATCAAACAATCAAACTTAAGCCACAGACTCAGAATTAGCCTATTCTTTCCTTTATCCCCAAGTCCTAGCCATCCTACTTTGACAAATTTTTCTCAAAAAATCCTCTTCTTACCCAGGAATTCCCCTTGTAGGAATACTCTAGAGACATAAAACACACGTAGCTGAATATGGTGGCACATGGCTGTGGTTCAGTACTCTGGAGTGGAGGGCTGATAGCTTGTGCAAAGGCCCTGAATTCAATCCCAACACTGAAAATAAAAAGAAGAGATCTGGATCCGAATCATTTGCTTATAACCCACACTGTCCCACTTACTGCCTTGTGTGAGGATTTACTTCCATGTTCAGTCTCAGTAATTAATACTTTATTCTGCTTGGAGTGTTCAGGTTCCACCAGAAAATGGAAAAGGTTCTTCTCCTGTGGTACCAGAGAGGAGTACATAAGCCAAGTGACCTGTTTTGTTTGCTTGGAATACCTGTTGGCCATAGGAAACTGGCACACACTATTGGATTTGATCTAGCTCTGTCTTCTCTATGTGAGTGAAAATATTATTTCATCTCGTGTATGATGGTGTTGCTTTCTCTTTGGCAGCTCTACTAGAGATACAGTGGGCAGAAGTGTTTAGATTTCTATGCCTGGTGATTGGCAACGTGATGATCTTTTATAGCCTCTACCTATTTGTTCTCCCCTAGCATTAGTAACAGATACACAATGCCAGTGCTACAATGTCAATGAATTTTTGGAAAACATATATTCATTAAAAGAAGACAGTCACAGAGTCACATCATTTATGGTTCCCTTCACATGAAATGCCAATAATAGACAAATACATGGGTGCAGAATGTAGTTTAGTGGTTGCCTAGGGCTGAGGATGATGGTGAAGAGAATTGGAAGGTGATAGTTATGAAGCTTAAGGTTTTCTTTTTTAGGATAATGAAATATTCTCATTGATTGTAGTGGTGGATGCACAATAGTGTGAATATACTGAAAGCTATTGAGTTGGTCACTTGAATTGAGTGAACTGTATGGTATGTAAATTATCATTAAAGCTTTCAAAAATAGCCACTTAAGGGCTTCTATCTCTACAGCTCCTGCCTCAGTTCACTTTTATTTCAGATTATTACATCAACCTCTAGAATTTCCTTAACCTATCTGCTATACTCCTAGAAGTCAAAGAGATCTTCAAAACAGATCTGATTGTGCAACTATTTGACTGTCCATTTTCACAGGATAAATTCTGAACTTTATTTCTTTTTTCTAAGGTGTAGACAATCAAGCCTAAGGTCCTGGCCCATGGTAGGTGAACATTCTATCATTCAGCCACACCTCCAGTTCTTTTAAAAATTTAAAAACATTTTGAGACAGTGTCTTACTAAGTTCCCCAGGGTGGCCTTCAA